ACTATGTAGTCCTGGCAACTCGGGAGGCTAAGGCAAGCATATTGCTTAAGCTCAAGAGTTTGAGGTTGCTTTGAGCCATGATGCCATGGTACTCTACCCAGGGTGACAGAGTAAGACTTTCTCTCAAAGAAAAAAAAAGGAATATCCAGAGCCAAAACCAATATCCATCAGGCATACAATGATGGTGTTATGTCTGGCTTAAATGTTAGGGGTTGCTAGATTTGGAAAAAATTAAAATTATGCAATTGAGCAAGCCCCTTGCCTTTAGGAAATTTACACTCTGTGAAGAAACACACCCAACTTGAGATCATGGGCTGTGATAGAGGCAAGATATTTGACTGGGAGGACACAAAGGAGGGAAGGATTCAATCTGAATGGGGACTTGGGAAGGAGAAAGTGTCAAAGAAAAAGGAATGCCTGAGAAGAAGGAGGATTTCAGCAGGTGGAGAGAATAGCATGAGCACAGATTTGGAGGTGTAAAAGTACAAGCACAGGGGATATACAATGCCGTGTGTGTGTGTGTGTGTGTGTGTATGTGCACGTGTGCGTGTGTGTGTGTGAGATGAGGGGAAGAAGTCTATGGAGGGACCTTGTTTTCTCTCAGAAAACAGCATCATCTTAGAAGAAAGAAGAGAGAAGAGACCAACCCACAAGAAATCCTCCACCTTCTCTTTCTATCGCCTCCACACTCACTAGTATCTGCTCTATCCTTGTTTCCAGCTATCCTGCCTCCATCCTCCTCCTACAGAGACCTTCCAAGGCCCAGAGAGCCTGCTGACCCCCTTCTGCCTCCTTTTCTTTTGCATTGTAGGGTGTAATGGTGGGCATGGGCCAGAAAGACAGCTACGTGGGGGATGAGGCACAGAGCAAGAGAGGGATCCTAACTCTCAAATACCCCATTGAACACGGCATCATCACCAACTGGGATGACATGGAGAAGGTATCTGTGAATTCAATGTGCTCGTTTCAATGGTAATATGTCATCAGGAGCTTCATCACGCACAAGCCACCCTGTCAACTCTTCCTCTAAAATGTTTCTCACATTCTTCTTCCCTTCCTTTCCAGCCCCATGACCATGCCCCCATTGTAGGTTGCCAGCCCTGAACTATCCCAGGGGCCTTCTGTCTAATGTCTGTCTCCAGCCTTCATTCACCTAATTAATTCTCCACACTGCAGGCAAAACTTATCTTTCCTTGTCCTGGGATCTGAGGACTGGCCCCCACCCAGCTTCATCCCCTCTGCAGGATTTACTTAAGCCAGTGCCTACCCCTTCTTAATATGTTATGCTGCCTTAAGAAAGGCAAGTAGCCCTCTCTCCATTTTAATTTCCTTGTCTGGACTTCAGACAGGTACATTGGTGCTGGGTTGTTATGATGGTTTGCTAATGAAAATTTTAAGTAGGGCTCTCTAGGAGGTTCTAGAAGCTTTCTTATTCAAGGATTAAAAAGGGAGGCCACACATGGTGGCTCATGCCTATAATCCTAGCACTCTGGGAGACCAAGGTGGACCTAGGCAATCCTTTGATTTCAGAAGTTCAAGACCAGCCTGAT